AGGAAAATGCTTAAGGAAAATATTGGCCAAAAGTGGATTTATATTATTTCTTTAACATTTATGCACTTCTGTTCTTTATTTCTTTTATATATTTAATATGTAAAAAAATTCGATATAATATTAAAAATTTGTTTAGTAAAAGTACGCTCGCGCGAGAAGAGACACGTGAGCAGCGAGATATAATAAAGAGATCTAGGCATGATTCTCGCGGTTGGCAGTATTAGCTATAGCTATAGAGAGAGAATGAGACAATAGTTTGAACGTCTGCACTCTTTCAACGCTTGGTCGAAACGTCAAGCGCTAAAATTCGTAACGGGTAGCATACGTATGTATAGTTATTCGCTTATGTGCGCTTCGTCGTACGTACTATAGTTATGCTACCAATGTCTTAAAAATGGCCCCTCCGATTGGAAGTCCGTGAGAATGATTTGCACGCGCATTGAGTAAACGTTATGGTATCTTCAGTACTATATTTATTTTAAGATTCCTCGCCTGAAAGAAAATATGCAAGGATTGTAGAGAGAAAAGAACATTTTTGTGGAAGAAACAGAGAATATTTGGTTATGAGTGAAAATAAAATTATCTTATTATTTTATTTTGTATTTTTCTTTATTTTAAGATAGTATTATAAACCGTTTTCAGACAGCATTTGCATTGTTTTTGTGCGATGTCAACCAATCTTTAAAAATATCAATATTTAACCACATATGTTGAAATCTTTTGAAACCACATAGGTTGAAACAATCAAATTTTTCCTTCTTTTTTTGTGCCACTTGATATTGAAAATTATTGGTAATCCTTCTTTTACTGTACCTTCTTTTACTGTACATTTTATTAAATAAACTTTAATATTATAATTACACTTTTCATAATAGTTAATTTACTTAACACTTATGATATTGCTTACACGTCATTATACTTCACGCATTTAACCTAGCTACTTATGAAAGAAACGCGGACAAACAGCAACGGATAAACGACCTGGTATTTTGTGGAGGCCCCTCTATGAACCTTCTATTTGCGCCTAAAACCGTTTTAGGTTACTGCTTTAGGTTACTGTTTTAGGTTACTGTTTACGTCAAGCTGCTACATTAGTTTATGTGTGTGTAGAAGGGTTCCTGTCGCGGATAACTTTTCCCGAACTCTCAGCGTCCCCTGTGTCGCGAAATATTTCGGTCGAATCTATTGTAAGGAAAGCTATCAATGACATTATCGAAAACTACGAAGGCTGTATAATAAGTACCCGTGTTTAACGACTGATGGCGTCACTAACTCAAAGTCTGTATACCATCATTTAATGCCATCTTTCGAACGACGCCAGTCAAAATTTCAGATAGATTTTTCGAGTAGTTTTGTTTTGATAACTGTTGAAAGTGGAGAAGTTTGTATTTGTTTGCAACCATGGAAAAAGAGCAATAACGGTCAGTGATCCGACTTCTCTTTTTGGATGGGAAGATGTGTGAGGAAATCAAAGTGAAGTTGCATGCTGTTTATAAGGACCATGCATCTTCGATGACTACCATCAGATATTGATTCAATGAATTCAAGCATGGCCGAACATCCGTTTATGATGAAGAGCGCCCAGGTCGTCCGATTGAGGTGACTACGGAGAATATGGTCAACAAAATCCATGATATCGTGTTAGCAGACCGCCGGGTGAAGATCAGAGAGATTGCTGACATTGTAAATATCTCCATTGAACGCATACAAAATATCCTACACGAAAAATTGGGCATGAGAAAGCTATCGGCGAGATAGCTGCCGCGTTTACTCACAGTGGAACAAAAACAGAATCGCATGACAACTTCGGAGCACTGTTTGGACATGTTTAAGCGTAATCCGAAAGAGTTTCTGCGGCGTTTTGTCACTGTTGACGAAACATGGATCCATCACTACACGCCAGAAACAAAAGAACAGTCAAAACAGTGGACTTCACTCAGCGAACCTGCTCCAAAGAACGCAAAAACGATTCCATCGATCAGAAAGATCATGGCCACCGTTTTTGGAATTCGCGAGACATCATTTTGACCGACTATTTGGAGAAGGGAAGGACAATCATGAGGCAGTACTATGTTGATTTATTGGGCCGATTCGACGCTGAATTGAAGAGAAAATGGCCCCATTTGGCGAAGAAAAAAGTACTCTTTCATCATGATAACGCATCAGCTCATTCGTCCGCAATCGCCACAGCAAAACTGGTTAAATTACGCTACGAATTGCTGTCTTATCCACTCTATTCTCTGTCCTATCCCCTCTATTTGGCCTCCTGCGATTTCTATTTATTTCCAAACATGAAAAAATGGCTTGGCGGAAAACGATTCACGTCAAACGAGGAAGTCATTGCCGAAACAGAGGCCTATTTTGCGGAGTTCGACAAATCATATTTTTTAGATGGTATAAAAACGTTGGAATATTGCTGGATTGAGCGTATCGAGCTGAAAGGAGACTATGTTGAAAAATAAGTAAAAAAAAAATTTTTTTAATGCGTTTCCTTGCCTAACATGGGTACTTATCATACAGCCTTCGTATTGATAGTTATGGTAAAAGTAAAGAAAACAGGTGCCACCTCCGATCAGTCTGATCTTGACATATGTTGTTAAGGATATGGTCCTGAGTAACAATTAAAAGGTTTTAGCCGTCGCTCATTGATTATTATAAAGTTATTAATAAAAGAAGTTGCAAAATGAGTGTAATTCCTGGACACCGTATATACAAAAACATCGAATTTGTAGGCTAGGAAGGTGTCTGCTACACACACATACACACAGCTTGCCCGCGCGCTCGCCCGCCCGACATGGGTGTGCAAATATTACACTCATTTTATGCAACTTCTTTTGTTAATAGCTTTTTAATAAACAATGAGCGACGACTAAAACCTTTAGAAAGTCACTCAGAAGGGTGACCTCTATACATATATCAAGATCAAGCGC